GGCCTTTTTATGTGTCGTGGCGACTTTTTTGGGTTCTGTAAGCTTCTTGTACCTTCATTGGCATGTCTTTCTTAAGGTTGGGAAAGTTTTCTTCTATGATTTTGATGAGCATATTTTCTGCCCCATTGAGGTGGTTGTCTTCAACTTCCTTTATACCTATTATTCTTAAATTTGGTCTTTTCATGGTGTCCCATATTTTGGGGATATTTTGTGTTAGGGATTTGTTGAATTTAAGATTTTCTTTGGTTGATGAATCTATTTCTCCTAGTGTATCTTCAACACCTGAGATTCTCTCTTCCATCTCTTGTATTCTGTTTGTTATGCTTGTTATGCTTGCATCTTTAGTACCTGACTGTTTGCCCAGCTTTTCTATTTCCAGCCATCCTTCAGAATGTGTTTTTTTAGTGTCTCCATTTCAGCTTTCAATACTTCCACTGTTTGAATTATTTCTTTCAATTTTTGATGTGTCTTTTCCTCCATGTGTTGCATTCTTTTGGATTTTTTGGTTTATTTTTTCTTCCATTTCTTTAAGCGATATTTCCATATCCTCTTTGAGGGCCTCTAACATTTTCATGAAGTTGTTTTTAAGGTCTTTCCATTCTGCCTCATTTGCATTAGAATATTAGAGTCTTGCTGGTGTGGAGTCTCTGGAATCTGGTGGTGTCATATTCGTTTTTATGTTGCTGAGTTTGTTTTTGTATTGTCTTCTTCCCATCCCTTCTTCTAGGGGGTGCAGACAGAGCCTCTTCCTGGCCTGTTGGTTATGGGACCAAAGAACCCTTTTGGTGGCTGTAAACAAGTTCAATACTCTGGTACTTCTTCTCTTCCTGGTCCTAGTTCTGGTCCCTTTGGCAGAGAATAAGATCAGGAATCTGGGGTGCATAGGCTCCTGCCAGGAGGGGAGGCTCAATGGTGTTCCCCAGGTACTGGAAAGCAGGACCCCATATAGGGCCAGGTTTAACTGGTCCTATAGGTGGAGGAGAAGATGAAGAAACTGGGGTTTGTAGGTTCCCACCTATAGAGAAGGCTCATTGGTGGTCCCCAGGCAGTTCACAAGTGCTGGAAGTTTTTGTTTCTTTTGGGGGTTAAAGAGAATGCCATAAGTAAACAGCTAGATGAGCTATCATTTGTGTTTTTGATCGTAGATATTCTGGTAAGTGTAATACGGAATCTTAAAATAGTTTTGATCTGTGTTTCCTTGAGGACAAAGGGTGTTGACATTTCTGTGTTTTCTATTCATTTCATATTCCATTAATGAGTTCTCTGTTTACCTCTGTACCTCATTTTTTAAAACATTGGATGGTTTGCTTTGTTCATGCCTCCCTTCCTGTGTTCTTTATATATTTGTTTATTAGCCCTTTATCAGAAAAGAAACCTTATAGAAGATTAAATCACTAATTGAACCTCACACATTAATAGTGGGAGACATCAATTTCCCACTCTCTCAAACTGATGGTTTATTCATATAAAATTACACAGAGAAATCAACTTGACAAACATTGTAGCTAACAAACTTTATAAACAAAATGGACCTAACAGAGATCTAGAGAACAATTTACTCAAACAAAAATAATATAACTTCTTAGTACCTCACATATCTTTCTCCAAAATTGATGATATACTAAGTCACAGTGTCTCTAATGGATAAAGGAAAATAATAAGACATCGTGCATCCTATAAGACCACCACAAAATAAGGCTGGACTTCTACAACAGAAACAAAAGAAAGCCTACAAATTCATGGAACCTGAAAATCTCTGTATGATTTGATTATACTCAGAAGTTTCTAAAAAACAGTCTCTCCTAGAATAGTCCACATAAGAAAGTAGAGAACAGCATCAGTATTGACAGACATGTTTGCATATAAGTTGCAATGTTTATGGTGTCCCATTACCATATCAAGAACTATAGGCACATAATGACAACTTGGAGAAGGAAATTTATTTTTTTCCAGAAATAAGCATCTGTTTTTAATCTAATGCAACATGGTATGTTTGGGAAGCATAAACACATGAAAATAAAACAAGCTCAGCACAACAGAATAACAAAAACACCCAAAATAATGAAAAATTCCATATATCTATAAATATGTGTTTACAGCAAGTACAATAAAATATAAAGGCTGTCAACTTGTAGGTGGATGGACATAGAGTGGTAAAAGAGACTAAATGTGAGAGACCTAGATAAAGGAAAAAGATAGAAAAAGTGATATAATTTTATTTCAATTAAAATTATCAAGAAATTAGTGAAATATATAAACCTTAAGAATGTAATGAAGAACAAGTATTCACAGAAAATGAAGATACATTTAGAAAAATGAAAACTAACACCAATTTCAAAGAATCCTTTGAATCAATGCTACACAAGTTTGAAGTACTCACAATCACAGAATTGCAAGGAACTAGAAAACACAAGATATTTATGTATTTTTGAATGAATCAGAAAATTGTTAGAAATGAAGGAATACCAAAATTCAGCAGCACATGAGACTTGTGAAATTATAGAGCACAGAATTAATTCATTTAATGTAATACCAGCTACACATCCTCAAGCTGTGTCTAGTTACTTGGATAAGGTGTGTAATGATAAAGCAATACAAAACTGCAAGAGTGGTGAACAAACAATGCACTGTACTCAAAATTGACTGAAATGATAAAAAATCTTTTAAAACAAGATTATCAATATCTTCTGTTACACAAACATTTGTATCCCCTTAAATGTTTAAATAAAAAAGAAATTAAAAGACAAGACATTTCACAAGGAATAAAGGTTGATTATTCACAAGTCACCAACATAAACCGGGGCCAAACGCTTTGAGATCTAGTTAAGTGAATAGGATTCAACACATCAATAGTGATCCACATTGCTATAGTCTGTCCCATATCATATAAAATACTATGGTCTCAAGTGCATAAAATGAAGGAGAAAGGTGCCTGGAGTGAAATAAGAGGAATAATAATTGTATTTGTAACATCTAAGAATCCATAAGCATTCTAGCAGCTGCTTAAAAAATAACTCTGACTTCTGATTCCTCATGCTCATAACAATTTCATGATATTATACAGTTTTGTTTCTGATGAAAACAGGACCATGAATTCATCAGAAAACAAAATTTCCTCATTTTTCACATGCATTTTGCACAAGAATTCCAAGACTATGTTAGGAGCAGATTTTTTTTTAAACAGAACCTTTATGTTCTGCAACCTACTCAGCATATTCACAGACAACGAAAGGTAACTCTAGGAAAACTCCAGATGACAAAATTCCATTTGAGAACGGTATAGTCAAAGCCATTATAAAAATCCACATGTTTTCAGTTGTGTCTTTTTGTGTGGCTTGGGTACCAAGGTAATTGTAGCCTCATAAAATGAGTTTGGCAGTCCATCGCCTTAACTACTCGGCCACCTCGTCCCATAAATGTGTAGCCCAGGCTGGCCTCGAACTCGTGATCCTCCTGCCTCTGCCTCCTTCAGCAAATCCTACCGGCGTGCGCCACCACAACCGGCAAATGGGAATTAATCTACCACTAGACCCAGCAATTCCACTCTTAGGCATATATCCAAATGAGGCAAATTCATACAACAAGGGCATCTGCTCCACTATGTTCATAGCAGCATTATTTGTAATAGCCAGAACCTGGAAGCAACCTAGATGCCCCTCAACTGAAGAGTGGATAGAGAAAATGTGGTACATTTACACAATGGAGTATTACTCAGCAGGAAAAAACAATGGAATCTTGAAATTTGCAGGTAAATGGATAGCACTGGAAGAAACCATCCTGAGTGAGGTAACCCAGTCGCAAAAAGACAAACATGGTATTTACTCACTCGTATATGGATTTTAGACATGGATCAGGATAGTGCCAGTCTGCACTTCCACTGATAGAGAGTCTGGGAAACAGGAAAGAACCTAAAAGATATGCATATATGCATAGTACCCAAGAGAAGAGGATTGAGACAAGATCCTCTGAATGGATGAGGAACACGGCGAGGGGTGGGGGGGGAGTGAGAAATGGAAAGAAGAGAGGGGGTGAAGAGGAAGAGAGTTGGTCATGGGGGAACAGGAAGTTGAGTGGGTGCGGGTAGAATAGGGGGAAGAGGGAATCATAGGACAGAAGACAGATCAGGCACCAGAGTGACCTCGAGTGATCTAAAGGGATAACACCAATTGGCAAGCTAAGCAATAGTGGAGAGACCACCTCGAATGCCCATTCCTGATAATGAACTCGATGTCTATAACCATCCGGGAGCCTTCATCCTGTGACTGATGGAAGCAGAGTCAAACACACAATTAATCACTGAACTGAACCCAAGGAACCCAGTGACAGAGAGAGAGGAGTGATGAGCAAATTGGCAAAGAATGGGCTGGCAAAACCAGCAGAGACAGCTGATCTGAACAGGGGAGAGCTCTTGGACCATAGACCGACAGTGGGGAGGCCAGCATGGGACTGGTCTGGACCCCCCAAATGTGAGTGTCAGCGAGAAGGCCTGGGCAACCTATGGAGCCCTCAGCTGTGGATCAGTGTCTATCCCTGGAATACAAACAGTCATCCTGTGCCTATAGCACAAAGAGGGATGCTCTCTCAGCCTTTACTCTTAGGGGAGTGCCTGGACCCTACCCAGAGTGAAATGACAGACTCTATATATCCCCTATGTGGAAGGATTTGGCAATGGGGGGGGGGGAGGAAGGGAGGGAGAGGGATTTGGGATTGACATGTAAAACAAGCTATTTAAAATCAAAATAAAAAATGATAAAAATGAGTTTGACAATTTACTTCCTGCTTCTATTGTGTGGAACACTTTGAGGAGTATTGGAACTAACTCTTCTTTCAATTCCTAATAGAATTCTGCACTGAAGCTATCTGTGCCTGCTTTTTGTTTTTTGTTTTATTTATTTATTTATTTTTGAATGGGAGACTTTTGATGACTGCTTCTATTTTATTAGTGGTTTTAGTCTATTTAAAGCATAACCTCTAATGATCACTATGATCTGTTTTTTCAGGTTGACAACTAAGAACATTCACTTGATTTTATCTCTTTATTTTGCCATTGATGAAATCAATAGGGACCCTCATGTTTTACCCAATATTTCCCTGCTAGTTAAAGTTGAATGTAAACTATTGGCTGATTGGAGTAAAATCAGTTTATCCTCAAAAAGAGGTGATTATTTTCCTAACTACCACTGCAGAAACCAGAGAAGATATTTAGTGGTACTTACTGGACCAATGTGGTTACCATCTGCCATGCTTGGACCACTCCTGTACATCTCCAGGATTCCAGAGGTAAGGTGGGGGTGTTTTGTATTTCAAGAATTACTGACTAATTTCATTTTGGTTTTCTTAGTTGCTTGGCAGATAGTAAGGTAGCAACTGAATTTCTATCTATTTTTATTTGCAGTCCAAAGCATAAATATTCAGATTCTTTAATGTGTACAATAGAAAACCATATGAGAAATATAGAATAGAGACAATGGCAATGTGACATGTTTTCTAGGAAGAGTAAGTGTATCTCTTCTAATTAGGAAAAATCAGAAAGAGTTTGTTTTAACAAATATTTAACATGATGAATAATATATCTTCCCCAAAATGACAGATTTTGTGAAACTTATTTAAGGACTGAGATTTGTGTGCTTCATCCTCATAAATTAGATTTTACTTTTTTGTGTGTCCTACAGCTTTACTATGGGCCATTTCATCCTCTCCTGAGTAACCATGAACACTTTCCTTATTTATACCAGATGGATATCAAGGACACATCTGTATCTATTGCTATGCTGTCTCTGGTAATCTATTTCAGCTGGAACTGGTTGGGACTGATCATATCAGATGATGACCTAGGACTTCAATTTGCCTTTGAATTGAGAAAAGAAGTACAAAAACATGACATCTGTTTAGCCTTTGTTACTATTATCACATATGACATAAAACTATTCATTAAGAGGGCTAGTACATATTATAATCAGATCATGATGTCTTCAGCAAAAGCTGTTATAATTTATGGAGACAAAGACTCTCCTCTACAAGTGATCCTAAGACTATGGCAGTTTGTAGACATTCGGAGAATCTGGGTCACTACCTCACAATGGGATATGATTACAAGTAATGGAAAATTCCTCTTCAACTCCTTCCATGGAACTCTCAGTTTTTCCCATCATTATTCTGAAATAGCTGGCTTTAAAAAATTTATACAGACAGTTCACCCTTCAAATTACAGTAATAGTATTTCTCTTGCTAAATTATGGTGGATATACTTTAAATGTTCTTTATTATCATCTAATTGCAAGAAACTGAAGAAATGTTCAGAAGATATGCTACTGGATTGGTTATCCAGGAATCAGTTTGAAATGTCCATGAGTGACACTAGTTACAAACTATATAACGCTGTATATGCTGTGGCTCATTCACTCCATGAGTTACTTTTGCAGCAAGTAGATACATTGTCAAAGAATGCTGGGAAGGGACTTGAAATTTACTCCTTGCAGGTAATTTGTCTTTATTTAAAAAGACTCCCCAAACACAATATGGCCTTAGCTAAAGATGTATATTTGATAGCTGTCTGGTACAGATAAGAAAATTGTTTGTGACTACTCAGGAAAGAAAGAAATACCCTATAGTAATGATATTGATATTAAAATATAAAAACAACTTAAAGAATATGATATTCAATAAATAATCTTTGAAATGAGTTTATTAAAATGAACAATGGGCTCAAAGCCAAGTATCTAGGAACAATTCTGCCAAATTGTTGATTTTTCTATTCTTTCAGGGTCATTAGTGGTATAGATTATAATCCTGCCAATGCTGGCACAATTTCATTGTGGCAGTTTAAAAGAAACTGGCCCCCATAGAGAGTAACACTATTCAGAAATGTGGCTCTTTTGGAGTAATGCCAGCCTTGTTAGTGGATGTGCGTCACTTTGGGAATTTGAGGTCTCCTATGCTCAACCTATGCACAGTTTGGCACTCAGTTTCACTTACTGTTGCCTGTGAATCAAGAAGTAGAACTCTCAGCTCCTTTTCAGGCACCATGTCTGCCTATATGCCACCAGACATTATGATAAGGGATTAAACTTCTGAACTGTAAACTAACTTAACTAAACGTTTTCCTTGATATTAGCTACTTTGATCATGGTGTCTCTTTAGTGCAATACAAACCCTTACAAAGACAGTCAATAGTCAACATCTAATTGTTTAACCTAATAATATTATCCAGATTATGGCTGCCATACATAAATATTTAAAAGCTGAAAATAACAATTTTGAAGTTCTCAGAAGTCCTTTTTTATTAATTTAATTTCATGTATTACATTATTTTTGTATTCCTCACAAAATTATTTAACAGCATAAAGAAAATGACTGGTCATTTAAGTGGTTAAACTGCTGTTTATTAATGTAGCAAATTATCCTTAATTGAAATCAAGTCATTTTTCCACATTTTAATAATGTCAATTATGCTGCTCAAGACAACATTGGTGATAGAAAGGGGTGGAGAAAAGGTACTGTATTTCCAAGCATTGTTTATGTTAGGCAATAACATTAATGAAACACTGATATTTCTGAACCTTAATGATATTTTAATGATACATGAACTTTTATTTCCTTTTATTAAGTTGAGCATTCCTAATAAAGTTACATTTTGGAGGCAATAGAAAATCAGAGGAAATCTGCACCCCATATTCTATGTCCTGATGTATAGGCATATTTCAAAATTAAGTAATAAATGTGTTTTAGGTTCTCTCTTTCCTGAGGAATGTCCAATTTGTAAATCCTGTTGGAGACATAGTGAACATGAATAAGAAAGCCAACCTGGATAGATATTATGATATTTTCTACACTGGGAATTTTCTACAACTATGTGGACTTAAGGTGAAAATAGGCAAGTTTACCCAGTATGTGCCACATCTGCAACAATTGCTTGTATCTGATGAAATGATAGCGTGGGCTACAGATATTAGACAGGTTTGTTGGACTTAACTGTAATAATCTAAATATAGCATAAGGACCTTAGTCTTTTAATGATTTTGTTTTTCTTCATGGACTAAGCAGTTTACTGTTTAGGCATTATTCATTAACTCTCCATTAACCTAAATTTCCTTTCATGATTAGATACATATATAAAATTTATATTTCATAATACAGAAATCTGAATGAAATCAGAATAAATATCTCAAAATCCAATGAAATGTTCCATTTTAGTTTAATTTGTGTTTCTAAAAGGAATTTTTACAATAACATCATGTTTTAAGTCACTGTAACTCGTGTTCAATAAACTACAACCAGTTATTGCCAATGCATATATGGTTTTTCTCAGATTCCACCGTCAATATGCAGTACACCTTGCAGTCCAGGATTTAGAAAATCCCTTCAAGATGGAAAGGCTATCTGTTGCTTTGATTGCATCCCCTGTTCAGAGAATGAAATTTCCAATATGTCAGGTAAGTATATATTTTACTAAAAACTTCACTGGGACAATTAAATTTTTCCATTATTGTATAAATCACAAAGAGGTCTTTATTGGAAATGTTAAACATCATCCCTAAACTTATATAAAAGTTATTTGTAATAACACATATACATGTCCGTATCTCAGTCTGTAGTTTTGACACCATGCACATAATAGTTTGTCCTGGAAATTGATTTAAACTACTAAACTATAGCATTTATCCTCAGATTAGAGTTCCGAATTTGGGATGATACTGCATCTCTTTTTTGTCTTTCCCAAGAGATGAGAACTTCAAATCTTTAGTTTTGAATTGATGAGCTTTGTGACATTGATGCTCTGGGATGCTGCATGTATGCATCTGAACTTATGTTAGTTTACTAAACAGGTTATAGAACTGTGAATAATAAATGATTCTGTGGATAATATACTCCAAACATATTTTATCATGGCAATTACCTACAGTTTTCAATCAACTTACTGAAAATATTTTGAATATGTAAGAATCATAAAGAATTATGCCTCCTTAGTAATATATGAGGTTTAAAGAAGTTCAAAAACCAAGATTAATTCTAATAAGCAACCACAGTGAACTACTACCTATGGCCATAAGATATTTCATCAATGCATTAAATTTATGTTACATAGATATATTCTTAAATAAGGAATAAACATTGTCTGATGATATACTTTTACTCAACCAGGCATGGATTATTGTTTGAAATGTCCAGATGATCAATATGCCAACATAGAAGCAACTCATTGCTTATCAAAAACTGTGACATTCCTGTCTTATGAAGACCCCCTAGGGATGGTTTTGGCCTGCTTGGCTCTTTGCTTTTCTGCTCTCACAGCTGTTATATTTGGTGTTTTTATGAGAAACCAAGACACTCCTATTGTCAAGGCCAATAACAGAAATCTAAGCTATTGCCTGCTAATGTCACTCATCTCCTGTTTTCTCTGTTCCTTGCTCTTCATTGGACAACCACAGATGACCACATGCATTATGCAGCAGACCATATTTGCCATTGTATTTACTGTTGCTGTCTCTACTGTCTTGGCCAAGACAATTACTGTAGTACTGGCATTCAAGGTCACTGTTCCAGGTAAAAGAATGAGGTGGTTACTAATATCAGGGGCATCTAAATTGATCATTCCTGTATGTACCATGATCCAATTGATTCTTTGTGGAATCTGGCTGGGAACTTCTCCTCCATTTGTTGATATTGATGTACACATTGAATTTGGCCAAATTCTGATTGTTTGCAACAAAGGATCAGTTATGGCCTTTTACTTGGTATTAGGATATCTGGGTTTCCTTGCCCTAGCAAGCTTCACTATAGCATTCTTGGCCAGGAGTTTGCCTGACACATTCAATGAAGCCAAGTTCCTAACATTTAGTTCAATGGTGTTCTGTAGTGTCTGGGTCACTTTCCTTCCTGTCTACCATAGCACCAAGGGGAAGGCTGCAGTTGCTGTGGAGGTCTTCTGCATCTTGTCCTCCAGTGCAGGGTTGCTTCTTTGCATCTTTGCTCCAAAATGCTATGTCATTTTGTTAAAACCTGAGATAAATTCTCTTCGCAAGATCAGGAACACACATTCTAAAGTTTAAAATTGTATTGAATTTAACAATTTTAGGTGTAAAAGACCACACATGTGCTCATAATCACCAAATATCAACTCAAGTATTATATTTGTTTCTATGCACCATAATAAATAATAACCTAAATGTTAAGTTCTACCATGTCACCTAGTCCTCAGTTTTTATTCATGAAAATCTTGGGATCAGTCATTTCTTTATCTGTAATACTTGTTTCACCTAATATATTTTCTTCAGTTTAATCAGTGAGAATTAGTACTTAGTTTTAAGAATTTTCTCTTCTGTTGTCATTTTCATGTAGAAATTGTGTGTCATTGAATTGCATAATATATATTTTATGAGGAATGTATATAGTTCTTTGCTAATGTGGGAAAATATGTTTATCTGGGACTGCAAAGAAAGATATGTGACACAAATATTTACTAAATTTATTATTTTAAGTTGATATGTCCTTGATTTAAATAGATTTAACTGATGAAGCTATAAAGTAATTAATTCATTTCTTATTTAATTTGAGGTATATTGAACACATACTTTTACTCCTTGTATAAGAATATTCATTATAAAAACATACCTGCAAAGTTTCTAGGATATAAAGTAGAACATTCTGATTGTATTCTACCATGTGATCATGTGGTCCCTTTATATTCTAAATGATTATGTTTGCAGAGAGGCATATTCTCAAACCAATTCACAGAAGAGTATTCATATAGGATTCTATAGCTAATTGAATAATGTGAGACTGCACAAAGCACTGTGAACAACAGAATGATAGCTTAGTCCTAAATGGGACATCTATGTAAAACCCCTTACATAAATTTTAATGAAATGCTAGGGAGGAAAACAAAAGCACATTTAAAAGCCTGATAATGAAAAGGTACACTGTGATATGCTGCCTTCCTGAAAAGTTTGTTTATTATATCTGTGGTATCTACAAAATTCTGTACATGATCAAATCAGGGAACTCCTGGTTTAGATCAAATAGATCTTTGTAAGGCTTAACTCCAATCTCACAAGCTATGATGATAATTCTGTTTTGAAAATGTGACCTCTGATAGAAATTATATGCCGTAGTAAATGGCCTCCCACCCACAATCAATGTATCACTAAATGGTCACACTCTATTATAAAACAGCATACCTGACAAAGGTTAACTTTGAATCCCAGGCATCAGCCTGGGAATCCAGCATGGGACTGATCAAGACCCCCTGAATGTGGGTGTCAGTGAGGTGGCCTAGGTAATTTATTGAGCTTTGGGCAGTAGATCAGTACTCATCCCGAGTATAAACATGGACTTTGGACTCCAACAATGTGAGATGCACTCTCACCCTGAACTCTTGGGGGAGGGTCTAGGCCCTGCCCTGCATGAAATGACAGACTATGGACACCCCCATGGAGGGCCTCACCCTCCCTGGGGAAATGAGGGGACATTGGGGAGGTTGGGGGGAGGGTATGGGAGGAGGGGAGGGAAAGGGAGAGGGACCTGAAACTGACTTGTGAAGCAACCTTGTTTCTAATCTAAATTTAAGCTTAAAAATAATGACTGCTGACAAAATATTTCAATCAGAAAGGTAATTATCAAGGATAAATTTTTGTCATGTTGTGAAGCAATGAGATCTTGAAATTCACAGGCAAATACATGGAACTGGAAGAAAATATCCTGAGTGAGATAACCCAATCACTAAAAGACAAGCATAGTGTGTACTCACTTGTATGTAGATATTAGACATAGAGCAAAGGACTTCCACCTTAAAATTCACACCTCCAGAGAAGCTAGGAAGTAAGGAGGACCCTATGAGGGGCATACATTGTGTCCTGGAGAAGGAGAAAGGGACCTCATTGGGCACTATTCTCTGAGACAACAGTTTTGAAGTAACCAGATATATTTTGTAAAGAATTACAATGTAAACATGTCACAAAATGTTGGGTATGTTGGGATGAGTTAATTGTTATCAGAGTATTTCCTCAAAATTATTATGTGCTTAAAAATGACTAAAGGAAAATGATCTTGGTAGGAATATAAAAGTAATAGTCAAGTACTGGTTGTAGAAAAGTCAGTCTGCTCTGAATTATTGTTTTCTCTTTGTGGATCAAGTTCCTCATGCCTGCTTTAAAGACTGTACGGGAATCACCTGTGAGCCCTATGAATCCATGTGGGAAAGAAATATTCTTAAAAATATTATTACATGTCTAGGATAACTGGGAAAACCTTATTTGGGAAATATGATCTCAAAATATTAACAGTGACTATTTGTGATCCAAACAATTAGTAAATGGCATTCATATTTATTCAAATCTCCAAAATTGTAAGGCTTGTTAATCTATCCTAAATTAAAGCTTTTTATCTGGGGCAAGTGATTTTTTCTTTCTTTAAGAAATTCTTAAAATATTTTTAATGTTTAACTTTTTATTCTTTTAGATACTAAGCAGTTTTCTGTCCCTCCCCTCCTCCTGATTCTACCCCTACCCCATCCACTTCCCAGAAAGGGTATAGCCTCCCAAGGGAATCATCAAATTTTAGCACATCAAGTAGAGACAAGTCCAAATCTCTCCCCAATGCATCAGCACTGAGCAAGGCATCCTACCAAAGTGAATAGGCTCCAAAAAACCAACTCATACACCAGGGATAGATCTTGGTCACACTAACAGGGGCACCAGAAATAAACTATGCTACACAACTGTCATCTGCAAGCAGAGGACTTGGTTGGGTTTCATGCAGGCTCCCTAGCTGTCAGGCCAGAGTCCATGATGTCCTACAAGCTCATGACATTGCAGGTTTTGTTCTAGGGATCTTGACCACCTTGGTTCATATAATCTCTCCTTGCTTTCTTCCACTGGACTGCCTGAGATCAGTCCAGTGCTTATATGTGCATCTATGCATCTTCTTCCATCCATTATTGAATGGAGTTTCTCTGATGACAATTATGGTAGTCACCAATTTAATTAAAGGAAAAGACAAGTTCATGCACTCTCTGAACTATTGCTAGGAGACATAGTAGGGGTAATCCTTGTGGGTTCCTGGGGATTTCCCTAGTATCATATTTCTTCCTAACCACATAATGGGTCCCCCTATCAAGATATCTCTATCATTGCTCTTGCTCTCAGTCCTCCCCCAACTTGCCCATCTCATCCTGTCATATTCTCCAAACACCACCCCCTACCTTTTAGCCCATTACCACTCCCAGTTTCCGTATGAAATCTCATCTATTTCTCCTTTCTAGGGTGATCCATGAATCTCTCTAAGGGTCCTCCTTGTCACCTATCTTCTCTGTAGTTGTGGAAGGAAAAGGACATGGTAAATAAGATAAAATGGAAGCCTACAAAATTGGCAAATATCTTCACCAACCACACATCTGGTAGAGGGCTGATCTCCAAAATATATAAAGTACTCAAGAAACTAGACAACAAAATACCAAATAATCCAGTTCAAGAATGGGGTACAGATCTATACGAGAATTCACAATAGAAGAATCTCAAATTGCAGAAAAGTGCCCATAATCCTCAGTCATAAGGGAAATGCAAATAAAAGCAACTCTGAGATGCTATTTTACACCTGTTAGAATGACCAAGATTAGAAACAATGATGACAGCTTATATTGGAGAAGATGAGGAGTAAAGAGAACACTCCATTCCTGGTTGGAATACACACATGTGCAGTCTATTTGGAAATCATTATGGCAGTTTCTCAGAAAATTGGGAACCAATCTACTTCAAAACCCAGTAATACCACTGGGGCATATACCCATGTGATGCTCAATAATACCACAAGGATGCTTGCCCAAAAATAATGATAGCAACATTATTCATAATAACCAGAAGCTGAAAATAACCTAAATATCCCTCAACCTTATGAATGGCTAAATAAAATGTGGTATATTTACATAATGGAGTATTACACAGATGGAAGAAACAATGACATCATGAAACTTACAAGCAAATGGATGCAACTAGAAAAAAATCCCAAATTAGGTAACCAAACTGAGAAAGACAAACACAGTAAGGACTCACTCTTTTTTTTTTCTTTTAAAGAAAAAAAAATTACATTTTTTAGAAAAGACATTGCTTGACATGTCAATCCCAGTTTCCTCTCCCTCCCATCCTCCCGCACCCCCCACCCCCCACAGCTTCCCACCCCATTCCCACTTCCTTCCACATAGGGGATATCTAGAGTCTGGTAAGGACTCACTCTTAAGTGAATATTAGATGAAAAGTAAAGGATAACCAGGCTACCATGCAAAAATATTTTTAATCATAGTAACTGTGTCTACTAACTCTTCCTATATTTATGTGCCCCTCTATAGCATAAAGTAATAAGAGACCCATAGAAAGATATTGGAGTTTGATCTGAAGATCAGGGAAGTAGAGCAGTTGGGACACTCACTCTTACAACTACCTCAGGCTGAATAGGCTGATCCAGTCTCCATGAGCTCTCACCAAACTTTAGAATGTATCCTCTCCTTAACATGGCTGGAGAATTAATGGTCCTATCCTCAGTGTGGATGGAGAATGTCTCTCTTCAGTGTGAATGGAGAATGAATCCTTCTATTGAATACTCGTTCCTATCTTTTATACCTCTCTATTGCTGGGAATAAAGGTGTGAGATATAATTCTTTAGAGTGATTTAATCTTGTTTAGATCTGGGCAGCCTTGAACTCACAGAGATCTGTCCACCTCTTAATCCTGGGTCCTAAGATTAAAATTTTGAACCACCTCCTCCTAGTTTTTGCCTGCCGGCATTAAAAGAATGTATAACTACTTCATGATCTCTACAGCTTGAGGCTGTCTTTGCTTTTTCTGAATCCTTACTCAGGCTTTAACAAATAATAAATAATATATCAGTATACCCCTCTCTATGTACCCAACTTTACATCCCTTTCAAATACTCCTTCAAGATGAATTATACTACCATATCATTCTTGGTTATGTGTTCTCCCATACTAGCAAGATTAACTTACCTTAGGCTATACTCATAGATAAAATAGTTTCTCCTTTTCTAGGTTCCTGACAATTGT